TGTTCTAGAAGAGGGAAGAAGGAAGAAGTCACAATGCTTTTTTCTATCCTAAATCATAGACTCAGGAATTTGTCCCCTCTGTCATGTTATATTCATTATGGGCAAGTTACTAAGTGCCTCTCACATGTACGGAGAGAGGAATGAGGCTTCACCTTTTGAAGGGAGGAACCTTTTGGGTTCGAACATATATATATATATATGTTTTAAAACTAGCACATGATTTTGATTATGGTAGAATCTTGTATGTACTTATAAATGCATATGTGTACATATACACGTATCACATTTATATTCTAAACTTACATTTTTCGTTCAGCAGTGAAGAGCTGCCAGTGACAGTCTATGTTATTCATTTTAGTCTGTAAATGTTAGAATAATAATGGCAAACCCTTATGTAATGCTCACTGTGTGCCAGGTATTCCTTGGAGCATTTGGGAAGGAAAAGATAATTCATTTAATGCTCACAACAACTTTGTGACTTTGGTATTGCTGTTGTTAAGTGCCGTCAAGTCAGCTCTGACTCACAGTGATCCTGTGTAGGAATAATAAGGAGTAGCTGGTGGTTTTGAACTGCCGACCTTACAGTGCCATACCACAACTCTTACTTTGTAATTACGATCTCTATTTTACAGATTAAACTGATGCACATAGCAATTAGGGAAATTGCCCAAAGTAACGCTGTTATTACGTGATAGTTCTAGAAAATGAACCTACATAATATGGCATTCAGACTGGAAGGAACTTAGCGGGACCCCTAGCCTCGGAGTAAAAACACTGCATTTGAACCAAAAAGTCTGTTGAATCCAGGCACCAACACCTACAAGACTTAAAGTATAGTCAGATAAGGAAACCAAATACACTGACTCCCAGCACGCCTACAGGACAGGTTGAGCTGCTCCTTAGAGCTTCTAAGACTGGATCTTTATAAACGCAGATAGCCTCATCTTTCTCCCGGGGAGTGGCTGGTGGGTTCGAACCTTATGGTCTGCAGCCCAGCGCTTAACCTACTATGCCACCAGAACTCCTAGGAGAGCGTATTGTTGTTGTTTGTAGCTAAGTGCCATCGAGTGGGTTCTGACTCATAGCAACCCTGTACAAGGTTTTTCCAAGGAGTGACTGGTGGGTTTGAACCAGCACCCTTGCAGTTAGCAATCCAGTGCTTATCCTACAGCACCACACCAGGACCTCTAGGATAGTGTGTTGTTATTAGGAGCCGTCAAGTCGGGCTTGACCCATAGGAACCCTGTACAGGGTTTCCGAGGAGCAGCTGGTGGATTTGAACCACCAACCTTGTGGTTCACAGTCCAGTGCTTATCCTACAGTGTCACAACAGAAGTCCATAGAATAGGGTGATGGTGGTGCTGGTTATGTGCCACCAAGTGGATTCTGACTCATAGCGACTTGTATAGGGTTTCTGAGGCTGTAAATCTTTAGAGGAGCAGAAACCCTCATCTTTCTCCCATGACGAGAGTGGTAGATTCGAACTACTGACCACGTTATGAGCAGTCCAGTTCATAATCCACTACACTACCAGGGCTAGGTTAATTATTTTGTCTACTATTGTGGTTCTTTTAAGGATCATATGATGCTTGGAAAAGTCAAAATTGTACTAAACATTAATTCTGACTCATAGGTGAATCCTGTGTGCGGAGTAGAACTTCTGCATCTCCGTAGGGCTTTCAGTGTTATGACCTTTCGAAAGCAGATTACCAAGTTCTTCCTGTCTTCTGAGGTACCCCTAGGTGGGTTTGAACCACCAACCTTTCAGCTACTAGTGTGCCATCCTCGGATTTACTAAACATTAGTTAGGCTTATCCAGGCCTTTTCTTGTGCTGAAAGATGAATCTCAGGTGAGAGTATGGGTGGATTTACTCAAGGCCACTCACCAAGCACTGGACTGCTAACCACAAGGTCAGTAGTTCAAACCCACCAGGTGATTGTTGGAAATCCTATACAAGGTCACTGTGAGGCAGAACCAACTTGATGGCACTCAACAACAACAAATTCAGCAATAGTGGTGCAAAGTTAGGATGAGAACCCACATCTCTTTGCTCAGTTCAGAGTACTTTCTAGCCCTGGGCTTCCCCCCTCATTTTTGTTCTGTCATCTTCAAATCAGGTAGCAGAAAAAGGCTGCCCCATGTAAGTGATACTAATCAGAGTTGACAGTTCGTGGTTACTGACTGTGTGCCCAGTCTGGTATGCTTCCCACATGCACCCCCCACTCTCAACTGCTCTCACCAAAACCCAGTACCCTACAGCCACCATTGAACCATGACCTCCTCTCATTATGATGACGAACAGTATTTGCATCATGTTGCCTACATTTAATCCCAGACCCTGCGTCTTGATCCATGTGACATAATCAAACCTCAGTGTCTATGTCTGACAAATGACCACAATAGTGATATCACTGTTGCTATGAGAACTGTCGCGAAAATTAACTGCTGCTCCTCGGAAACCCAATACAGAGTCGCTATGGGTCAGAGGTTGGCCCAGGACTGGGCAGCGTTCGTTCTCTTGTGCATAAGGTCACTCACTATGAGTCAGTACGGACTCAATGGCACCTAACAACAGCATGGGTCAGAACTGACTCGACGGCACTGAACAACAACAGTGAACACAGGCAAAGAACTTAGCAAAGGGTCAAGGTTAAATAACGTGTACGCTGTTTTTGCTATCACTTTGGTAATAATTTCTGTTATTATCTTCTACAGCCTACACACCCTTTCTATAAGCTCCTGAGAACAGGGACTGCTTTTTCCCTGCCCCCCATGGCACACTGTGACCCTAGATGTGATATTTACTGATCAGGCAGTATTAACTCATCCTGTGAAATGGATCTCTACTACAAATCATCCAAGATGACATTTTCTCCCAATTCTCAAGACTTTCTGAGAAGAAGTGAGTACCAGCAGTCAGTGAGAGCCATCATTAAACAAATATTGTTTTTCCTACCATATTAGTTTTTTGGATCCTGTGGTTTTCCAAAGTATTTGGCTTGGCATTGAGAGCTTTCATTATCGTCTATTTCGAATGGGCAGAAGTGTTTTCCAAGTACAGTCTTACTTCCCTTTCTCCCATGCAATCCTATATTTACATATGAATGAAAAGGAGTTCATTACCATATTGTTTCCTTTCTCCTAGTCCATCAATAAAGCGATGGAGAAGGACCATGAAGAATACAACATTGGTGTCCTGGATATCTACGGCTTTGAAATATTCCAGGTAAGACCAGTTTGAATAGTTGGGAGATGGAGGAAGGTGATATCATCTGACATGCAAGAAATATTTCTAGGCAATGTTCCAACTCCCAGCAACCCTGTATAGGATCTCCAAAGCTTTTTAAAATCTTTCTGGAGGCAGAAATCCTCATCTTTCTCCCTCAGAGCAGCTAATGAACTTGAACTGTGGACATTATGGTTCACAGTCCAGTGTTTATCATATGGAGGCATGGCTCATATTTGCCTTAATGAGTTCTTCATGTACTTAGCTGAATTGTCATCAAGTTGGTTCATTGGTTCTGACTAGTGGCGACCCTTGTATAGGGTTTCCTAGGAGCAGCTGGTGGGTTTGAACTGCCAACTTTGCGGTTACCAATTTAGTGTTTATCCTAAAGCACCACACCAGGACTCCAGTTTATATTTAGGAAAAGCTAATTTGAGTAATCAACACTCGTCTGTCAGTGTGTCGTACTGGGTTGGCTTGCGTGTTGCTGTGATTCTGGAAGCTATGCCACCGGTATTTTAAATACCAGCAGGCAGACCCATAGTGAACAGGTTTCAGCTGAGCTTCCAGACAGAGACAGATTAGGAAGAAGGAAAGACGGACTACTTCTGAATATTTAGTCACTGAAACCTTATTAATATCTGTGGAGCACTGTCAGATAGCACCAGAATATTGAATATTGAAACATGATGAAGAGCACCAGAATATTGCCAGATATAGCACCAGAAGATAAGCTCCTTAGGTTTGAAGGCATTCAAAAGACAACTGGGACCTTCCTTTGCTGACAGAGCACAATTCAAAATGAAGAGAAACAGCTGTAAACACTCATTAATAATCAAAACATGAAATGTATGAAGTATGAATCTAGGAAAATTGGAAATTGTCAAAAATGAAGTGAAACACATAAACATCGGTATCCTAGGCATTAGTGAGCTGAAATGGACTGGTATTGACCATTTTTAATTTGACAGTCACAGGGTTTACTATGCTGGGAATGACACATTAAAGAAGAATGGCATCACATTCATCATCAAAAAGAACATTTCAAATCTATCTTGAAGTATAACAATGTCTGTCATAGGACAATATCAATAGGCCTACAAGGAAGACCAGTTAATACCACTATTACTCAAATTTACACACCAACCACTAAAACCAGTGAGGATAAAATTGAAGAATTCTATTAATGTCTTCAGTCTGAAATTGATCAAGAAAGCAATCAAGATGTGTTGATAATTACTTGCGATTGGAATGCAAAGGTTGGAAACAAAGAGGAAGGATCAGTTGTTGGAAAATATGGCCTTGGTGATAGAAACGATGCTGGAGATCACATGATAGAATTTTGCAAGACCAATGACTTGTTCATTACAAATACTTTTTAAACAGCACAAAAGAGGACTATATGCATGGACCTTAGTTAGATGTTTATTTGTGTTTTATTGACTATTCAAAGGCTTTCAGCTGTGTGGATCATGACAAGCTATGGACCACATTTTAGAGTATGAGTATTCTGGAACACTTTATTGTGGTCATGGGGAACCTGTACATAGACCAAGAGGTAGTGATTCAAATAGAACAAGGGACCACTTGAATAGTTTAAAATCAGGAATGGTGTGCACCAGGGTTGTATTATTTCACCATACTTATTCAATCTGTATGCTGAGCAAATAATCCAAGATGCTGGATTAGGTAAAGAAGAGAACATAGCATCAGGATTGGAGCTAGACTGATTAACAACCTGAAATATGCAGATAATGCAACCTTGCTTGCTGAAAATGAAAAGAACTTAAAATATTTACTGATGAAGATCAAAGACCACAGTCTTCAGTATGGGTTGCACCTCAATGTAAAGAAAACAAAAATCATCACCAGTGGACCAATAAATAACATCATTGAAAATAGAGAAAAGACTGAAGTTGTTAAAGTCTTCATTTTGCTTGGATCCACCATCAACACTCACGGAAGCAGCAGTCAAGAAATCAAACAATGTATTGCATTAGGCCAATCTGCTGGGCAAGACCTCTTTAAAGTTTGAGGACTAAGGTGTGCCTGACCAGAGCCATGGTATTTTCAATAACCTCATATGCATGTGAAAGTTGTACAGTGAATAAAGAAGACCAATAGAAGACTTGATGCATTTGAGTTATGGCGTTGGAGAAAAGTATTGAAAGTACCATGGACTGATAGAAGAACAAACAAATCTATGTCAGAAGAAGTACAACCAGAATGTTCTTTGGAAGCCAGGATTGCAAGACTTCACCTCTCATACTTCGGACATGTTGGCAGGAGGGACCAGTCCCTAGAGAAAGAGATCATGCTGAGTACAGTGGAAAGTCAGCGGAAAAAGAGGAAGACCCCTAACCAGATGGATTGGCACTGTAGTAGCAGCAATGGGCTCAAACTTAACAATGATTGTGAGTTTGGCGCAGGATCCGGCAGTGTTGTTCTGTTGTTCATAGGGTCACTGTGAGTTGGAATTGACTCCATAGCACCTAACAACCACAGTTCAGCTAGGGGTGTCCTGGTGTGGTGCTATAACATAAGCAATGGATTGCTAATCACAATGTCAGCGGTTTAAACACACCAGCCACTCCTTGGAAACCCTATAGAGTTGATATGAATTGGAACTGACTCGATGGCACTCAATAACAATACCACATATAAACTATGCTTCTTCCTGTTGCTGTATCCAATGTGTCTGTTAAGACATTTCACATCGAAACATTTCACTAGAGCACTCAAGACAGTACTTTTAAATGATTGTGGAAGTGTTTATATTTGAATAACTTTTTAAAAATTATTTTATTTTCCAGAAAAATGGCTTTGAACAGTTTTGTATCAATTTTGTTAATGAAAAATTACAGCAGATCTTTATTGAACTGACGTTGAAGGCAGAACAGGTAAGTAGTTTTGCTTCTTCATCTTGTCTGTTTCTATTTTGTTTTGTTTTCAAGAACATAGGCTTCTGCCTTTTGATAATAGATTCTGGTTTCAGTCTTATATTTATAAAATGCCCCTAATAAAGTCAGGCAGAAAAACCATATGCTATTGTGGCATTTTAATCTGTGAAATATAACCACCATCTGCTGCTTTTTCTGTCTCCGCTAAGCAAGTAATGTGAAGTTGGACATATGACTGGCTGTTTTACTACACTCTGACTCATTGACTAAGTGGAAAATGGAAACTTAGTTCCAGCCCCAAATTGTCTATGGCATATACTGTGTTCCAAAGGAAAGATTTGGTTTTCTCACATTTGCTCCACCACCAATCTTCCCTATAAATAAATAGAATTTTAACAAAGCCAGTATTCTAATTCTGACTTGAAGTAACAGATCTTGCTCCTAGTTCCTTCTAAAAACCAGGTGTTGATTTCATCTTACTTCTGATGTCCTATGAAAGGTGTTTTAAGGAATGTTTAATCTTGGAAGTGTTCAGGTCTCTGTTTAAAAAACATTAATGACTCCTTATTGTTTTTACATCAACTTCTGCCCTGGAATTCTAGTCCTGCACCATAGAGTAGAGCAAAACAACCAAGAGAGAAAGTTGGAGGGACTAGATTATATAGGGCGTCCTCTAAGGCATGAACAAACTGGATGTTACAGGAACTATCATGGACTCCTGGTAAGGTGCTGTTGGATAAGCACTGGACTGTAAACCACAAGGTTAGTGGTTCAAACCCAAGATGGAAAAACCCCAAGATGGATTGGCACTGGGGTAGCAGCAACAGGCTTAAACTTAGAAATGGTTGTGAGGATGTCACAAAACTTGGAAACCCGATACAGGGTCACTATGAGTCGGAACCGACTTGACGGGACTTCACAAAAACAACAATGATGGAAACCATTGGTGGACTTTGACCTTTTCAAACAAATGATCTGATTTGTTTTGAAAGGTCACTGGTTCTATAGACTCAGGAAATGGAGTGAGACAGGAGAAAGCAAAAAGGAAAAAAAGTTAAAAGCCCGTTAGACAGGGCAAGGAATGGTGAGGCCGCAGACAGCGATGGTAGCAGTAGAATTAGCATTGTGGTGAGAGGTGGTCAAGTTCAAGACTCACTTTGGAGAGTGATCGATCCAACAGGACTTGCTCAGAATGATTCACAGCTAAGAAGGAAAGAGAAGAATCAAGGATGATACCTAGATTTGTAGCCTAAACTAAAGAGCCCATGATGACACCATTTCCTGAAGGCTAAGATTAGGAGAAGGGTTGGTTGGGTAAAGTGGGAGAAATGGAATCAGCACTGCTCTGAACATAGCTAGTGTGGAAGACCTATTATACATGCAAGTGAGGATTCCTGTTAGACAACTAATATATGAGTCTGAAATCAGGGGTGAGGTCTAGACTAGAAAAATCAATCTAAGAGTCATTGGGTGTTATTTAAGTCTAGGGAATGAGGATTGAGAAAACAAGGAGGCTGGTAGAGACTAAGCCCTGAGGCTCTCCATCATGAAAGGGTCTGGAATGAAGAAAGAGCCAGTGAGAAAACCAACACAGGAAGACCAGTGAGGAAGGAGGAAAACCAGACAGTGTGGTGTTCGTCACGTTAAACGAGTGAGGGACTTCCCTCTTAGGTATCTCAGATACTAACCTGTACTCGTGTCCTGTATTAAATTCAAAGAGATCTATACACTTTATCATATAATAGTGTCACTTTCACGTGGTTCAATCTCAATGTAATAATCACCAAGCAATGAATTATTCCTTTGGCATCACCTCGGTGGGTGAAAAAAGACAAAATGTAAGTTCCCATTCTTTGTTCAAGGATGTTCAAGTTTTTCTCTTTCGTGGTAATGTGTGTGCCTCTGATAGCTATCCATGCACAGCTCCAATGAGTCTAGAATAATGTGAATTCCTGCTTTCTGTCTTTCAGGAAGAATATGTTCAAGAGGGCATAAGATGGACACCCATTGAGTACTTTAATAACAAAATCGTGTGTGACCTCATAGAGAACAAAGTTGTAAGCGTTACTCCATGTGTTTCTTCTCTGCTCATGACTTCATAGGAAGTGGCTTTTGTTCTCTGTCATTGTAGAATTGGTGGAATGATAACTGATTTGCAGAGAATTCTGACAACTACGTTAGTTTTGTGTACTTCTGTATATGTGGGGTAAATGGAATCATAGACTTTATTCATTTAGTCCAGGGGTGGGGAATGTTGGCCCACAGGCTGTAGAAGGCCTGAGAAATCGTTTGCTCTGGCCTTGCCAAGGCAACTGCAGTTCCAGCCATCACATTAGGGGTGAGTCAATTAAATGTTTGATCAAATATAGCAGGCTAATTTTCAAATTCATAATTTTGTGTGGCCCAGGAATAGTGTTATCTATTTTGGAAGAAAAAGGTTTCCCACCTCTGCTTTAGTTAATATGAACATGTGGACATGAGTAAAATGCCAACTAACGCGTGCAACTTGTTGCTAAATTTTGAGAGAAGCCAACTATCACTTACACAGATGGTGTCACCATTGAAGAGCCATAAAGCTGTCTGTGCCTTCTAACCCAGTCATACAAATTCTAGAACTTGATCCCTAAGAAATCACTTAACATAAATAAAAGCAATGTAGACAGACTCCACCATGCTGTTTTTTACTTTAACAGCCCCACTGGAAACAATAAAAATGTCCTTAGATGAATACAATCATGAAGTAACCTATGGTATACGAGAGTGCCTGGATATGTTAAGTATTGTTGAGTCAGTCCTGACTCAGAGTGATCCTGTATAGGGTTTCCGAAGAGCAGCTGGTGAGTTTGAACCGTCGACCTTGAGGTTCAAACCAACCTATACTCCATTACATTAGCTTAGGCACCGCTAGCCATAAGACGCATTAAACCAAACAGGCCAAACTCACTGCCATCGAGACTGTTCAGACTTATAATGACCCTAGATAGGGTTTGTGAGACTGTAACTCTTTACAGAAGTTGGTAGCCTCAGCTTTCTCCTGCAGAGTTGCTGGTAGGTTGGCATCGCCAAACTTTACTCTGCAAAACAGGAGAACTGTTTATAAAATAGTACAAGGTGAAAGAAAGCAACACACAATAGTGTGTGTGGTGTGTACATGTGGTTGTATAAATGATGGCATTGCCGGAGTCGTGGTGTGAGACTATAGGATAAGCACTGGACTGCTAACTGCAAGAACCGTAGTTCTAACCACCAGCTGCTCCTTGGAAACTCTATGAGTCAGAAGAGCAAGAACATAAGGTAGCCAACTAAAGGAGACCATTAAGAAGTGAACTAAGGCCAACAGAATACGTTTTTTATTTCTTTTTTAGGTTTTTCAAAGTCAACTTAGTACAAGTAATAGAACAGATAATAATCAGTGCATGACTTTGAATCAAAGTACAGAGGATTAAATAGCTTTTTGGAGAACTTGCCTTTCCTTCATCTTTAGATCTAAGTGGTGAGTCCCCGTTTGGGACTATTAATTGCATTCTTTTGTTCAAGGGAAAAGGCTGACTTTCAAGATAGTATTTTAAGACTAGGAAGCCATAGCCTTAAGAAAGGGCCCAATAAGCATTGTATACCTCACACGTCAGTGACGTGGGGCCTTGTCTTCTTGGTCCCCCCAGAACCCTCCTGGGATCATGAGCATCCTTGATGACGTGTGTGCCACCATGCACGCGGTGGGTGAGGGCGCAGACCAGACGCTGCTCCAGAAACTCCAGATGCAGATTGGGAATCATGAGCACTTCAACAGCTGGAATCAGGGCTTCATTATTCACCATTATGCTGGGAAGGTATGGCCAGAGAGCAGGGGTTCAAAATAAAATGGCAAAGTTATTGTTTCTGTTTTTATGATTGTTTAATAATTTTAAGCCTAGGGGTCTGGGGTCTGTTTTGTCATGTGGCAAATTCTATCAATACCCAGATAGTTTTATCTCATTATATTTATTGATTTAATGCATAGGCCCTCTGATGTATTTGAAGGCAGGAGGGTGCAGAACAAAAGACAATATTAGCACTCTGTATTGATTTTTAAACATGAGTCACCATAGAACTTAATAGTAACCACGGGAGGGATTTAGAGTTAGAATGCCCTTAGCCATTCTTGTCTTTTCCTCCTGCTGCCATCATAAAACCAAAGGGAACCTAGGCAAAGCAGTTGCAAGTGTCAGTTCCAATTCATGGTGACTGCATGTGTAACCAGAGTAAAACAGTAAGTACTCCGGAAAGCTTTCATTGGCTGAGTTTTCCAAAAGTAAATTGCCAGCTCTTTATTCTGAGGTGTCTCTGGGCAGATTCTAACTGACAACCTTTTGGTTAATAGTCAAAGCATTTAACTCTTTTTGCCACCCAGGGACTCTGCTGCAATCACGAGCCTGTATAAATCAGGGTCAAGAGCACACTTTCAGTGTTTGTACTTCTCAGAGGCTTGAATGTTGGGTGCCAGGCACTGTGTGGACCTAGTGGATACGAAGATAAATTGAGATCCTTGTTCTTGGGGACCACTTGGTCCTGTGCAAATCGAGTCTCACCTTTCACCTCCACAAGTCTTCTGTTAACCAGAATCCCTGGTTAGCAGGAGTTTGTGGTGGATTTGGGCATCTCTCATTGGAGACATTGCAAAGCTTCAGGTGACATAGCCCATCGCAGTGGACTAACGAGCATGTGACTTTTATTTTCATTCTGACTTAACTAAAATCTAGGGAAAGGATTATGTTTATTACTTAAACAATCCCAGGGAGTCCACTGGAGAAGGGGTCATAGGTCATGTAGGCTATCTGATGCTATTCTTTTGCATCTGCTAGTCACCCCCAGCTAAGTCGGCTCACCAGCTAGAAGGAGACAGCACAGCTGTAATGTGACAGTTCATGGTGAAATCTTAAATATTGCATCAGGAATTAGACACATTTGAGTGAGGATAGTCTTGTTACTTCCAGTTTTTGTTCAGTGTAATACAAAAAGGATGAAATTAGATCTCTATCCATTCTTGGCTAGGTATCCTATGACATGGATGGCTTTTGTGAGCGGAACCGTGATGTACTTTTTATGGATCTGATCGAACTTATGCAGAGCAGTGAGCTGTAAGTATTTTAACCTCATCTGACTTGATCAAACTTGCAATATTAAAGCACACGCGGTATTTGAGTGGTCAGCATTATGTTCCTTTCAGCCATTGGGTCTGCACTATAATTGAATAATTGGTTCTTATAAGAACTTTCCTTTTCTCCAATCTCAGTCTTTCCCTTGTGTCCCTAACATCTTCCTGCACTCGAACCCCAAGTACCATCTGCATGAGAGAGCCCTGGTACCCTAGTAGTTACGCATTGGGCTGCTAACCCCAAAGTCAGCAGTTAGAATGTACCAGCCACTCCTTAGGAGAAAGATGAGGTTTCCTGCTCCCATAAAAATTTACAGTCTTGGAAACTATGAGTCGGAAACAAATCAACGTCACACAACCACCAACAACAACAACCTCAGTCCAACAATACTTTCATGACAAAATGACCATCCTGGGGTTGGGTTAAGATGACCATTTCTTACCATCCAACAGTGGACCAGTGTAGTTCTATGATATCCGGGCCCCCCTGGAACATCACCCCAAAGATTTTCTGTGGTCACTCAGCCTTTGGTGGCACTGTGGCTTAGGCATTAGGCTGCTACCCGCAAAGTCAATGGTTGAGACCCACCAACCACTGTGCAGGAGGAAGATGAGACACTCTGCTCCTGTAAAGATTCACAGTTTTAGAAACCCCATAGGTCTCTGTGAGTCAGAATCGACTCGGTGGCTGTCAGTTTGGTCTGTTTCTAATGGTTCAGAAAGATCCCAGTTACCCTGACTCTCCGAAGCACCTTGGAAAAATTCAGAGAGAGACAGCTGACTCAGGGTTTGCTTTGAGGTCCATTCTGAGAACCTGTCTAAGCTATCAGCGTAGAAATAGTAGTGGTATTCCCCATAGCAAACTGTTCGAGCTAAAATATTTGAAGTGTTTAAATTATTCTTTTGTTTTTTGTTATTGTCGAGAATATGCACAACAACAATAACAAAAAACACTCATCCAGCCCTCTTTACATGTGCAATTCACAAATATTGATTACATATTTTAGAGAACAAACAAGATGGCAGATAGGGTAGAAGTGCAGTGAGGAACTCCATTAGCAACAATACAGAATACTG